AAACCAGACAAACACTACTTCAGATAAGTGTGATCAAGGTTAACATCAACAGTGTTGAGTCACGTTGATAGCATGTACCCTTGATACGATGTTTGAAAATAGCGCTTGACCTCTGTGGTCTTCCTCCCCAAAGCCCATAATTCCAGTCTAATCATGAGAAACATCAGACAAGTCCCAACTGAAGGGCATTCTACAAAACAACTGACCAGTACTCCTCAAAACTGTCAAGGTCATCATAAACAAGCAAAGTCTGACAAACTGTTACAAACTGACAAAGTCACAAACTGCCAAGAGGAGCTTAAGAAGACATAACAACTAAAGGTATGTGGTATTCTGGATGGGATCATGAAATAGAAAAAGGACATTAGGCAAAAACTAAGGAAATCTTAATGAAATAAGGACTTAAGTTAATAATAAATCAGTATTGGTTCATTAATTATAATAAACGAACCATAATTAGGTAAGATGTCAGTAATAGGAAACTGAATTTGAGAGTATGTGGAAATTCTCTATATTATCTTCTGAATTTTTCTATAAACCTAAAACTGCTCTAAAAAAATACTGTTTTAAAATCATTAAAAACTTGACAAAAATAGTTTTTAAAATGTTAGTTGCAATGTAGAATCTGAAACAATATCAGTGTCTTTTAAAAATTCTATTATAGTAGAATCCATTAGCCTTTCTTGTACTTTAAATGGATCTTTTGTCATGCATGATTTTGTAAGAGTATTCACTGGTTGTTAGAAAATATTGGTTCAATGAGTTATGCAGATCTTCCCAATGTTGACACGTTTAATTATATGAAATCAAAACTTTGCATTTATTAATATCACCATCAATTTCATCAAGAAATGTATGAAAATTAGGAAGCTGTCAAGTTCATGGTGGGAGCAATAAGTTTTCCAAAATTTTAATTTTCACTTGTTTGCTCAAATTTTATCACTGGCAACAAATACTCTTAGTTGTTTTTCTTAACACGAGAGTCTTACTTCATTCATTTTAAAGAAAATGTCAAATATTGTAAGAAAATATCTGCCAAGCCTGAATAACCATAGTTTGTCAGTCACTCTTTCAAGTAAAATGGCCTTCCATGAAAAAAGTAGCTAGCTCAGCTAGTGACTCACACAATTGCAGAAGTGCTTTTCCTCAAGATAACTGCTGTATTTGGTATATAGCACAAGTATCTACACATAAAGATGTGCACTTCCTTCATCATAAAGAATATTAAAAAGACATGTTCTCAAGGGTTGAGATTTAACCAAATTAATCATTTTTACTGTTTCTTCAGTGACATTCTTGAGTGATACTATTGGGGGTTTTTTGGTTTGAGTTTTGGTTTTGGCTTTTTACGGTGATTGCATGGGCAATGAAGAATACAATATATTTTAGTGCTACCACCTTGATTCAGCTAAGGCTCCAGCAGTTTTACCTATCATTGCTTTTGTACCATTACCGCAAAGGTCGCCACAGTGAAAAAGGTAAATAGTGTCTTATATTGTTATAGAGAGTTTTGACCTCCAGGAAGCCTAGAAGTCTAAAAACCACACTTTGAGAACCACTGACTTAGGTAAACATATTTCTGACTTCTCTACTACACATGAATTAAGCCAAACAACTATGTCCAGGTAAAAATGGAAACCGGAATGCTCATGTCATGTCCACAGAGATGAATCTGTTTCACATTCCTTTACCACCACTCTGAAATGGAGGAAGTGACAAGAACAAAGACCACCCAGACATATTCTCCTTTTCCTTCCCACAGTCCTCTAAAACAGGGTTTCCCCACCTTTTTCATAACATGGCAAGGAGAAAAAAAACAATCATATTTTCATTAAAGAATAAGGCAATGAGGCTACCCAAGGCTTGAGGTCCCTAGCCTAGAGATATAGACCATATATGGCCTTGAGGAGATGTGCCCATTTCCAGTGGCAATGCCAAGGTACATGGGTTAGACAGTTCTGTACTGAGGTTCTCCACACATGTGGGGCTCTCAGCCTGGACGATGTCTGTTTCATGCTCCAGAAAAGGCTCAAAGCTTAGTCAGATGTGGGAATCCACAAAGTACCTGAATGTATTTCATGGCAAGACCAGATTTATGTTAAAGAGTTGATGTAACTGAATGTAACTTGTCCAAACATTTTCAGATATAGTGCAGTGATTAAGAGTGCAGAAACTGGTTGCCACTTACTAGCTGTGTGATCTTGGAAAAGTAACTTAAGATCTCAGTGCCTCAATTTTTCCACCTATAAAAAGGAAACAATAATAGTGCCTACCCATTTTAAGTATAAAATGAGTTAATACATAAAAAGTGCTTAAAATGATGCCTAATATGTAGCAATGTTCACTATTATTATTATGCAGGAGCTATAGGGTCTCCTAATTGGGATTGCTCCTCTGAGCATGACAGTGTTAAATTGCAGATTTGCAAAGACAGAAGCCCAGAGATACCAAGAGGCTCAATGTTAACCTGCAGGATTCCAGATCTAAGGGAACATGCTTGGAGCAGCGGGGGAGAGAGATGTGAGAAGTGAGGAATGTCCTGGGCCTTTTTAGTTTACTTACGGCATACATCAAGGGTTTATAGTTAAAACCTTCTTGTATCTGTTAAGATACTAACTGACAAATGTCTACCTAATATATAAGTCTGTAAATATATTATTTTTCCTTAGGAAAGGCCATGGCTCAAAAATAATCGTTACAGACTATAAACCCATCTACTTTTTGCCAAAGGTTTTTATTTATTTGTTTTTTTCATGATGGTGTTAGGAGTTGTGGTTATGAACCTCAGGCTTCAGGAGCCTCCCAGAAAACTCGAATAGGACCGTCCCAGACACATCAGATCACCGCTTCTTTACTTTGGGTTAGATGTGTTTTCTTTACTAAGTAGTTTTTGGCTACTACTTAGCCTGGCTAATAAGATCATTATAATTAATTGTTTTAGTTACATATGAAGCTGAATGATTTTAAGAGTCCTCTTCATGCAAGTATTCAATATCTGTATTGCTGGTTGTAAAGAAATTACAAGTTCTTTACAAGAAAGTAGACTGACCACTTAAAAATGTAGCCCTTCCTCAAACATCCCTCACAGCTTAATACTAGTATCTAACCCCACGCATCATGTCAATGTCTTTTTTCAGTCATTCAGTGCTTGTCTGATGTGGTAAACGTCCCACAATTACAATGCAAATAAAAAGTAAACCTATCTATGCAAAGTCACTGACAAATGAGGATCTCATCAACTTGAAGAGGAGAAAAAAATCAACAAGGATAATGATACCATAAAAATTTTTTAAAGTAATTGAAACATTCATGAATTAAAAGATTTTGAAAAAACTGATGAAATCTTTAAATATTTTTGTAAAAATGATTTTCTGTGCAATCGAACAACCAACTCATGAAGTGTGGGGTGCAGTAATTTACTAACCTAAAATTTTGTCAAGAAAGCTATGCCAAAAATAAATAGTAATTTGACCATTATTATTCTAGGAATTATTATTCTAGTTCATAGTTGCAATTATAATTCATATTTTTGTCAAATAAGATAAAGACTATTTATTTTTATGTGTTACTTCTATTTTTCATGATAAAGTCCCAATCAATGTTCTTCCCCACTATCCCTAGACAGTAGACTATGAAGATTTTGGTCCCTCATTCATGGCCTTTTCCTGGTACGAAGTCTCCTGAAGTAATGAAAACATTAAAAATATAGATAAATATTTTTATCTACTCAGTACCTGCCCCAAGAGACCATCTTTGCCTTAGTACTCCAAGATACAACAGGTCTATCTTTCCCCTTTCCTACTAGGTCTCCTTCTGTGGAAGGAAGAAGCTTATTTCTCTGGCAAAGTACATAAAACTTAAATGGAAGCCTTAATAGGAATTCACCTGAAGATATTAGGTTACTAGAATCTTGATAAGATTGATCCAGTCGAAGTGTGAAGGGCCCACGTCACGCAGAATGGCTTTCACTAACAGTGATTTGACATTATCACTTTCAGAGGATCCTACTTGGACTTACACCTTATTGGTTTTGAAGTGCTTTATTTATGTAATAAAAAGTGTAGATTAGATTCATCTCTCTGGTTTAAAAATTACAAATTTACATTGGTTAGATGTAATTTAGTCATTAGCTTTTCAGAAAAGTACTCATAAAATGGCTGGCAAGCATAAATAAAGACTTTCTCTCCCCCCTTGCTGAAAAACAATTCTTTTTTTTTAGTTACCTAAAAGTCAAGATAAATCAGAGACCAGTTGGAATGATAACTTATACATTACAATTGAGATATTAAGCTTAAAGTTATATGTAATTGGAATTTGTTTTTCTCAAGATTAATAGTCAATACATATATTGAACATCCACTGAGTACTGAGAATTCCAGAGCTTTTAAAAGACAGAATTCAAATTTATAATGAATCTGCAATCAAGGTCTTTCTCATTCATATGAATGTGTGTATATACACTTTTTTTCTCTGTTGAATACATTATTATATAATACAGATGTCATCATTACAGAAATTCACTTTCTTTGACCCTGGCCCAAACAGGTCAGATATTATGGCAATAGTAGATGGGCAATAAGAACAAGAAATAGATATTCTTTCACGTCATACTTCCTTGGATCATGGTAACATTACGTCATCTTCCTTTCTCCACATACTAACCACACCTCAATTTAAAACGATAATAATAATAATTTTCTTGTGTTTGGCTTTTACAAAATACTCCTAAAATTAATTTTAGTTTTGCTTCCAGCAACAGTTGACAATTCTCTCGGTATTTCTAATTTTGCTTTTGAGTCCTTCCTTCTAAGTGCAAATTTTGTGCCAATATCTATAAAAAGCACATGGCATATACAGATGAGTATTTCCCTTAATGAGACTTTTAAATCAGTTCTGACTCTGTGAATAGTATTTTAAAATCTGAAACAGGTAGAAAGGAAAATGTGAAGTATTTTAACATGTGAAAAGGCCAATGAGTCTGGACGCGTCTGGATACTTACTCTCTCACACAGCTCTTCAAATGTGCAGTCGGCAATGGTTCCACAGGCTTTATTCAGCCGCAGCTCTCTGCCTTGCACTTTTAGAATCCTTGGTCTAGTTACTATGGGAACATGAACAAAGACTCAATCTTGTCTGGATAATTACTATAAAATTCATCTCTTACAGATAGGAAATGCATAGCTTGATGAATAATAGCACATGATTCAACACATAAATTAGACAAAATGCTGATACAATGACTGCCACTTGAGCGTGGCATCAACCCATATACAGCAATGGAACTTATTAATTGGTCAGTGGAGATTGGGCATTGTGTTCTAAATGTATTCTCTTTCAAGAGAAATTAACTTACGTACAATCATTTTGTTTCTGAGCCAGCTCATCAAACAACTTATCCATGACAGCCTCCACATCAGCTTCACTTGTGCTACAGTGAAAAGAATAATAGAATATGAAATTAATAACACTTGAAGCCAACATCAAACAGCTGCCAGAGCCTGCTTAGCTTTTTGCCCATAAAAAAAAAAAAAAGAGAGAACAGGATGTTATGCTCTAAATACAAACATTAGATTTAGAATACACTTAAAAGCAGAGAATATTAACTCTCAGGTAGATGATTCTGCCTTATTTGCATACACTGAAAGACTTCTGTGCTTCTGGCTGTTTCCAGTAATGAGAGGATACAGGCAGAGTAAATCCACTAATACTATGTGTACACAATGAGAAGAAAGGCTTCTGGCTCTCTCTTGCATGCAAAACAAGAGCAAATAGACAAGGCAGTCAAGCATCCAGCAAAGTATCCTTTGAAATCTCTACTGAGAGGGTACATGTGAAATTAAATATTGAAGCTGCTGTTTTTTTAAAAAATTCAAGTCAAGCCACTGACTAAAAGCATCAAACACGCAGAATTAAATTACCAGCTTCAAAATATCAACTTGGTCTACACATCAATAACTTTATCAGACTTTGAGTATAAGGACAATTATAAACCACACAGTTTCTCTCAAAAGTGTCCCTGCTGGAAATTCAAGAAAACTCTCCCTCTATGATGCCCACCATTGCAGCTACTATGAAGTTAGTCTCATCAAAGAATCTTTTGTATTCTAATTAGAAATCACCATATGGTTTAGGGAATCCACATATATAAATGTGATAATACTATGCCCTTTTTTCTCTCACCTTTTTTTTTTAAAGAGGGGTTGATAAATTAACAGTCAACAAAATAAAATAAACTGGCAGAAGAAATAAATGCTGTTAAAAAAAAAAACTGCAAGTGAAAATGTAAGTTTATGTAAACTACATACAAACTTATACAGGATGACCCGTCAATATGCTTAATTTTGACACTCACTCTTATCTAGGTGTGGAAGTAATTAAACTCTATTCTGGACATCTATCTTAATGAAGTCTTATTGAAAACTAATATGACAAATTATTTTCTTTTTAGATTAAGTTTAAACTAAGCCAAACTAATTTCCCCCTTGAGATAATTATCGGATAGTAAGCATTTAACACACAAACACTTAATTCTTCAACTGTCCTACAGAAAATGCCTTAAAAATACAACAAAGCGCACAGTCATTATGAAGGGTTTGGAATTGTCATATTCCAAGTAATAACAACTCCACCTCAAAGGACCTTAAAAACATTATTTTAAACAATTTTTGGAAATAAGGAATAAATGAATTTAAAAACAAAAAAAAAATAACATTGCAGGGAAATGCTATTTGACTTATATAAAGCCTTGCACATTTGAATAGAGAGCCATATTAAGATAATAAAATGATGCTACAGAAAGAGAATTATAGAGACAAAAAACAATTTTAAAGGTACAAAGAAATCACACAAGCCAACAATGTAAATGTCGATGCCATGCCAAACACACGTATGTTTAGATGGCTTTGTCAACCTCTACCTTGCAATGGCAGTGCACACCTGCACAACTGCTGGAGAAGTGAGCTATTTTTTAAGAGATATAGAAAGGAGAGAGCGATGCCAGCCACCCAGGACATCTGCTAGCTTTCACAAAGTTAACTTCTTCTTAGGACAAGCATGTTACCCAATATAGGGGGAGAACTGAATTCTGAAAAATTACCATGACAGAAGACAGTTACATTTCTAAAAGTATATCTGATGAACAAACAATTGCTTACAAACTTCCTCAATGGTAATTTCTTTTTTACTCTGCGCTCTAATATACTATAATATTAAAATGTGGCTCACTAGACTTTAGTCGGGCCACATCTTCTACATCATCTATGAAACTACTATACGTGATTTTATTTATGATGACATTATATTTGAAAGTACACAATTATTTTTATTATAACAGTATCTTACATAAGAATTCTATTATATGATCATAAAAACTTACTCAAAAGTTACAACGTGCAAAATAAAAAATCTTATTGGTGTTAAGTGGTCTAAAAGTAAATATTCATAAAAGCAGTTTATATAATTTACAATTGAAGACACTTATTCATCTAAGCCAACCTGCATTTGACCTCAAGGAGCAAGTTCTACTAACTTGCTGGGGGACAGGAACCTTATCTTCATATTGTCTTAAAAGGGGCTAGTGTGTGTTTTGGTTTTATGAGATGCATCTATACTGACATGAAATAAATAAAGATGCTATGACAGGAATCCTTATCAGAAAGGAATATATTCATAATCCTTTAACGAATGACTTAAAGGATAACACTAGTCTTCCCACATTCCACTCAGACTTCAGATTTCCTTACTTAAGAGGAGTCATCAGAGTTTATCTGAGAATTAGAAATATGAAAAGAAAAATTAAAACTTACCTATCTAAATTAGCCTAAAAGATTCAGTTTTACTTACTATCCAGGTTCGTATCTGGTTTAAACATCTTTGAGTATGTTTGTAATTCTAGTAAAAATTTTGGATGATTCTTAACTATTTTAATGTATCACACAGGGAATAACTAAAGCTATCATTTGGTGAGCAACTAGTATGTAACAGTTAATTTACTGATACCACCCTCACTTCACCGTGCAGTCTGTATTATACCATTTTTACAGAAGAGAAAACTGAGATTCAGAGAGTTAAGTCACTTATTTAAGATCTGAATAAAAATTAAAATTTTCTGTATCACAGGAAATATTATAAATAAAACAATATATGTATATCAAACCAGAAAACATAGTGGCAACATTTGTGGCAGACAATATTATCAATGCATTAAAAAAAAAAGAAAAAAAGAAAAAAACTCCAACAGATAAAAAAATTGAATACCCCAGTAGAAAAACTGTCAAAGGACTTGAACAGGCAAACTGCATTAAAAAAATAACTCAATGGGCAAGAAGCATATGTAAAATTGTCCATTCTTACTAGTAATAACAAATGCAAAATAAAACCATGAGATGACAGTCTTTTATCCAAACTGGCTAAGGGAAAAGATAAAGTACTCAGAGCAAGTGTAAGTATAGAGAAAAAGAGGCACTGCTGGGAGGAATGCAAAACTGGTACAAGATTTCAGGACAAACGGATAATATGTCATAAAAGTATTAAAAACATGCATATCACATCACCCAGCTATTCCACTCACAGGAATTTCACCTATGGAAACAATAATGATTAACAAAGATGTTCACTGTGACACTGCTAACATCGAAAAATTTTTTTAAAGAATCTAAATGTCCAACAATGGGGAATTTGGTCAAGTAGATTTGTATACAACCATACAATGGACTTTTTGAGTGCAACTTTTCCCTCTTGTCCTGAATTGCAATTAAGGTCCAAAGTTGATGGTTATAAGAACTAGATAACCTCAAATTCTAAAGAACACCATCAATGAGCCACCAATAACAGGATCCAGACTCCTGTCCCAATGGTTAAATGAAGAGGAAAACCAGACCTACTCCAAATGCTCCTTCTCCTTCCTTACATCACATTAGGAGGAGAAAGGGGATCAGGAGACACTGGCGGTTGTGTCTAGTATTTGTGATAAGAGCATTTTCCCTTCCTTCCCCTTAGAAAAGAAGAGGTTGATTTACCCTCCCCAAAAGTGAGTGATCAGGGGACTGGTTACCTAAGAGAATCACTTAGAAAAATTAGGGGAGGCTGAAAGAAGAAAAGACTGGCTTTGGATGAGCAGAACTTTAGCAGGTTGAGAAATCAGAACATGGAAGGTGGGGTGCTAAGCCACAACAAAGCAAACCAGTTTTCACCAAAAACCTTCCAAAGTTTTGGCACTACTACATAAACTTGATGATACAGATGAGGGGTCAGGATGAAAAGTGTTTGAAAATAAGACAAAGGCAGTTCCTTAGATTCTCTCCCTTTACTTGGACATCCAGATTCCTGCACCTTCTCCACTCTAGCTGAAAATGATGAGTTTGTCATCTGGGACAATTTTAACAATGAAGAAAGGGAGAGAGATAACATACTGAAAACCTAGACATTAAACAGTGAAACCAACACTCTTCAGCATACAGAACCCTACCAGCCAAACTTCTATCCTAGGAAGTAGACAGAAATACTGGAAGAAACTGAATAAAAAAGAAAGGTGTGTAGATAGTGACATTTGGAGGTTCTTCGATGTAAACTGACCTGGTACCTTATCACCCTCCAGTGATGCTCACCAATCAATAAAACCCTACCTATGCACACAGAACTTCCAACCAGCTTTTAAATGCCTCATTCTTAAGTGTGAGTGGACAACCAAGTATTTATAGGCCTTTAAGTCTCTAGGATAAAAGATAAAGAATAAAATTAATGGAAGAAAAGATCTTAGAGGAAGCAAAGAAAAAACAGAGACCAGAAGGAGAAAACTATGCTCTGATATACCTAGAGAGAAGAGGATATTTCATCCATAAAGCAAAGGATACTGTAAACTAAAAGAACAATTAGTGCATAAGAAAAAGCTCTAAAAAATGACTGCTAAGTAAAAAATTTAGGAAAGGAATTGAGAGAAAAAGTTGAAGTAATCTTTCAGAAAATATAGCAAAATGACAAACAGATGAAAAATAGAAGAGAAAATCAAAGAATTAGAAGATCAATCCAGAAGGTTCAACATCTAACCAGAAGGAGTTCCAAAGACTAGAGAGGACCAAAAAAAAAAAAGGAAAGAATCAAAGAAAAAATAAAATTAAGTTTCCTAGAACTGAAAGACATGATATTCTAAGTTAAAAGAGTGTGAACACCCAGTACCCACCCTGATGTCATAGCAGCATTATTCATGGTGGCCAAGACATGGAAACAACTGACGTGTCCTTTGACAGATGACTGGATAAAGAAGCTGTGGTACATACATACAATGGAATATTACTCAGCCATAAGAAAAGATGAAATACTGCCATTTGCAACAACATGGATGGATCTTGAGATTATCATGCTAAGCAAAATACGTCAAACAGAAAAAGCTGAGAACCACATGATTTTATGTATATGTGGGATATAAGACTG